CCCTAACATTAGGGACAAATGTACTTTACCCATAAACTCGCGTTAGATTACATTTTTTCAAAAAATATAAGTGGGGGATTTTACACTTTATTCGATGCAATTTGGATAATGTAGGAGACGGGAAACCAAACTGCGTATTAAGGCCAAACCAGAAGAGGAGGGGAAAGAGAGGTAGGCTGAGATCCACCTCGGAGCGATATCTGAAGGGGAATCCTAGGCATGTGGAACTCAGCTGGCTGGAGGAGGAGAAGATCGCCCAGAATATAGACAGGTGGTGAGCTCTTCTTGGCGGTCTACACTTCACCCAACACCAGTATGAACGAGGAAGATGAAATGGCCAGCAAACATACCTAGCTGGGTGTTCCCACAGACTACACGACTGTCTGGGTGAGCCTTCCGCAAGGCCGCTAACTCTGTCAGTGTGGCCGGCCGGAACCATGCCACCTGACGTTTCTGGAACTGTAGATTCTGGGAGTTCAACAGTGCAGTCTCCAGCTACAAGGGAGTCGATTGGGGAGAGAAGCCAAATAATGATTGAGTAGTGTGATTAGACAAGAGAACATAACAATGTAACAATTGACAAAACAAAAGGGCAATAATTTTGATAATTTAAGACTAATCTAAGCAAAACTGGGAACATAATGTAAAATTCAATCCAGGGGACGTAAGTTTCTCAATATGAAGAAAACCAATTTACTTCTTCGAGAAATATCAAACAAATCTCAGCCAAATTTGAGAGAATCGCAAACCTAAGCGACTTCTAAAACATCAACCATGATGTGTATTTGAGCATTCAAGAACAAATTTGTATAGAAATTACATTGCCAAATAAACCTTGGGAAGGTGATGGCTATTTAAATGGTATGCTCCATGTGCTGATCATTTCTCTCCTGACAAGCCCCAATATACCGCTGAAAACTGAATAACGCTGTGGCATGTGTCTGGGTAGGTAGTCTCTTTGGACCTCCAGTTTGTTTGGGTTTTGTTTTGCGTTTTTCGGGGGGGGGGGTAACTTGGCACGTAAAGAACGTAAAAATATTGCCTGAAGTTTGACATGTTGTCTTTTCTGGTTTAAATTGGTATTTTTATACTTTAATGTTGGGCTTTCACAGAATTTTGTTTTATAATATTATTTCAAAGACATGCATTCTGGAAACAAACTAGGAATTGGGGCACCTGTCCACAAAGAAAGACCAAAAAATGAGAACTGTTACAATCAGGGTGTAGCCCCCAAAAAACACTGCCAGGTTACGTAAGAGGTGGAGTCTCCAAATTTCTCGACCATCTCTAAAGGGACTGAGAAAAGTGAATTGAGAGTCTTGAAAAGAACACAAACATTCTAACTCCATAAACATCTTGAAGCGGATTGGAACCAGGGTCATTCGCATCGCAATACAGCGCAATAGCATAACGTCAGCTAGCTTTTCAAATGTACAATGCCCAATTGTTTTTATTTTTGAATTATTGCAGATTCTTGATCTGTGGTTGTACTAGTCGGAGAAATATTTTTTCATATTTCAAATGCTAAATGTTGAAAAAAGGTAAGAAAAGAAATAAAAAATGTAAGGGCACTTGTTGAAAGATTTAACCCGTGTTTCTTTTCTCCCCAGAAAAATGTTGCTTTCTAGGCTGAGGACATTTTGACACCTTGTCGGCGATATGTAAACTATAAGTATAATAGTTTAACAGAGGGAGGTAAACCAAACGCCAAATACCTTGAGTTGAGGCGGGAAAATCAGTGCCTGAGTTGACTCCAGAAGTGGTGCATTGAGCAAACTGCTTTCTAGAACCTTCTCCTGTGAGTGGACATGGCATGACCTTGTATTAGAGGAGAGAGAATATTGGAGTGGACATGTGTGATCTCTCTCTCTCTTTCTCTCTCTCTCTCTCTCTCTCTCTCTCTCTCTCTCTCTCTCTCTCTCTCTCTCTCCCTCCCTCCCTCTCTGTCTCTCTCTCTCCTTCCCTCCCCCATCTGTCCCTGTCTCTCTATTTTTAAACAAATTGACCTTCAGGCTTTTTTAAAGTGAACATGGTTAGATACCTAACATGTTGTCAGTGTGTGGTTATTGCTAAATGGATGAAAAGAGGTCACATTCTGACTAGAAGCTGAAAAAGATGTGATGTCTAACAATGACTTCAAAGACATATGAGTGTATACGGGGGAGGGGGGGTGTTGTTATTATCTTCCCTTTCATCGTTCTTCTCACCCCCCCCCCTCCAAAACCCACCATCTTCTTTCTTTCTCCTCCTATCTGTGTTGCACTCTATCTTTCTATTCTCCTTACCTCACCTCTCATCGTACCCCTATCCCTCCCACTCCTTATCCATTTCCTTCGTCACCCCTACTCCCCACCCCTCCAAGCAGTCATTTACCACTGTCCCTCGGCGTGAAATTGTGCCGAGACAACCGTACCTTGGCGTCATCAGTGGATGTGTCCGTGGGTGTGTCTGTGGGCGTGTCCGTGGGCTTGTTACGACAGCACGCAGTCCCCATGCCACACGCCGGCTGCACAGGTCAAAGGTCATGGGGAGAAAGGAGAAGTATTAAAGGTGACAGTCCACTTGACGGTCTACCTCACTGAACACGGTTTACCTTTGTTCCCGTGCTGTGTCAACTGGTGAGTTACGGTTAGGACAAGGGTCTGAGTTAGGTTAAGGTTTGAGAAAAGGGTAAGGGTTAGAGTTGGATATGTTTGTGTGTGTATGTCAATGTGTGTCTATCTGTGCATATGTGTGTTTGTTTGTGTAACTGTTTGAGTATACGTGTATTTGAGTGAGTGTACATGCCTGTAAACATAATGAGACTCGATATCCCTACATCGTTACGGTGATAGCAAAAACATCGGATTCATGATATATAGTATGTGTCAACGTGTGACGAATGAAAGGTATCAACAGATGTTCTGTCTGAACGTTGACCAACTTCCTTCTACGCAAAATTTATTTGGACTATCTTCTTTACTTTCAAAAACATTTTTAAGCAAAACCAGTTGGTGTGTTATTAAAGTTTAAAAAGCATAAAACTGTGCGCATAAATGTAGGCTTCTGCAAATTTTCTAGTCAGCCTTTTGAGAATGGTTCATATAGATATATACAAAATATTATACATGTGTTCAAGACAGATTTTGTCGAAATTCAAACTCTAAATGTTGAAAAAGCATGGAAAATTACCTTCACAAAATGCTTGAAACCCTCCAGAATAGGTCGGTACCCTGTACATCGGCACAAATTTCCTGGGAAAGAACATTTTTGAAAAACACTATTAGCTCAATATTGGCGGCCCCTAAAGCGCACTAAAGATGGATCACGGCTACGGAGAATCCAGCCAACAAGCTAACACAGGACACAGAACAAACAGACAGACAGACAGACAGACAGACAGACAGACAGACAGACAGACAGACAGACAGACAGACAGACAGACAGACAGACAGACAGACAGAGGAGGGGGGGACTGGCGGGGAAAATTGGTAAAGTCACATTAAATGTTATTTTTTTAAAATTCTGAACGTTTAAAGTTTCATCCTCCCTCCAGAACACTTTTTTATAACAACACCAGTCACACACAAATCTCCCTTCATCATTATTTCACTGTACGTAGCAGACAAGTCTCTGGATGGTTCACATACAGTCCCCTCATATGCCTACATGTAAGGTGACTTGAGGTAAACAGTGGCTATTTCTTTACTCTGTACTTTCAGCTTGTATTTGAAATCTAGTTAATGTATCCGAATATGAATTCTACTCCTATCGCTCAAATAGTTCAGAAGAATTTCTTGCCATTTCAAAACGTCAGGAAAATATGAAAGAATATCTAACCTGGTGGTTTTTATTCCACAGCAGATTTGTATTTATGGAGCAGCAAGTGAGCTTGAGAATTAATTCAGCTCGCAACGTTCATTCACTTTATCCTAAATCTTTTAAAAAAGCAATCAAAGGCACCAACCGTGTAGAGCTTCCCGGAGGTCCTGCTCAGTGGGTTGGGGTTTGCGTCTGACAAGAGCGCACATGGACATAAGCATGCCTGGGGTACAGAAGCCACACTGCACGCCGTGACTCTCCGCTAGTTGACGCTGGGAGAAGAAAGAAAGGGAGAGAGAAAGAGAAATGCTGTGGTGCTCATAAAAATCATTATGGCCTGTTAGTGTTCAAAGTGCCGTAACATTCTTACTAAATCATTAAAATACGTTGTGTGTGCGTGTCCTCTTGGTATTCTTCTTGCAACACTAGACAGTTATTTAAGAGGCGGAACCTCCAATTTTAACGTCCATCTCCAAAAGGACCGAGCAAAATGGCAAATTCACGTAGAGTGCCTCTATCAATGACACAACGTCGGACTGAGCTGAGGTTCGAATCACCAAACTCACAATCTCTGTCAGTCACGGTTCCAAGCCTGCCTTCTAAATGAGCTAACTTGTGTTTCGATGGGGACGTATCTACTTTTGTTTAAACAATGAAAGCAGCTCTCTCTCTCTCTCTCTCTCTCTCTCTCTCTCTCTCTCTCTCTCTCTCTCTCTCTCTCTCTCTCTCTCTCTCTCTCT